CCTGCCTTTTAATTGGGATGTTTAGACCATTTTTATTTAATATGATAACTGTGATATGCTTAGTTTTGAGTCTATAATCTTGTTAGTTGTTTCCTATTTGTCGCATCTGTTCTTTGTTCCCTTCTTATTTTTCTACCTTCTTTTGCATTAATTATTTTTATGATTCCATTTTATCTCTTTTGTTGGCTTATTAGTTTTATGTTTTTGTTTCGTTATTTCAGTAATTGCTTTAGTTTATAGTACATGCTCTTAATTTATCTCAAATTATCTCCAAAGGATATTATACTACTTCATGTATAATATTAAAACTTTACAATAGTATACTTCCATTTCTTCCCTCCCAGCTTTTATGCTTGTCATATATTTTAGTTTAGTTTTTTATATGTTATAAACCAAATGATATTATTATTTTGTTCAAATAGCCGATTATCTTTAAGAGATTTAAATCATAAGAAAAGTCTTGTATATTTATCCTTCTTGTTTCCATTTTTAGTGCTCCTCATTCATTTGTGCAGATCCATCTTTCCATCTAGGATAGTTATATTTCTGCCTTTCTTTAACATTTCTTGTGGTATGCATCTACTGGTGATGAGTTCTTTCAGTTTTTAATATATGAAAGATATTTTTTCTGGGTATAAAATTCTTTTTTTTTTTTTAACGCTTTAAAAATATCGTTCATTGTCCCCTACTTAATTGTTTCTAATAAGAAATCTATAGTTATCTTTATCTTTGTTCATCTGTAACCATGTGATTTTTTTTCTCCAGCTGTTTTTAAATTTTTCTCTTAATCACTGGTTTTAAGTAATTTCATTATGATATGCTTGGTGTAATTTCCTACATATTTCTTGTGCTTGGGTTTTATTAATCTTCAGTCTATGGATTTACAGTTTTCATCATTTGGTAAAATTTTAGCCATTATTTCATCAAATATTTTTTTTCCTCCTTTCTCTCTTATTTCACAGACTCCAGTTACACATACATTAGGCTGCTTAAAAATGTCTTAGAACTCACTGATGCTCATTACAATAATTTTTATTCTCTTTTTTTTTTCTGTATTTCATTTTGGATAGTTTGTATTGCTAACTTTTCACTACTCTTTTCTTCTACAATATCTCATCTCACCCAGGTTATTTACCATTAATCTCAGACAATATTATTTGGTTAATATCATCCACTGTATTTTTCCTGTGTAAGACACTGTGTAGTTTTCACCTCCAGAAATTTGATTTTGTTTTTTTTATATCTTTCATGTCTCTATTCAACTTCTGAAAATACAGGCTATAGTTATAAAAACTGTTTTAATGTTTTTATTTGCTAGTTGTAACATCTCTTTCAATTCTGGGTTTGTTTCAATTGGTTGGTATTTTCCCCTTTTTTATAGGGTAGCATTTTTTTCTCTCTTTGCACTTTTAGTAATTTTTGGAATGTTAGATATTGTAAATTCTACCTTACTGAGTACTGAATGTTTTGTATTATCTATCTGTGAACTTTATTCTGGGATGCAGTTCTTTGGAAACACTTTGATCCTTTTGTGTTTTGCTTTTTAAGATTTGTTAGGTTAGATCAAAGCAGCATTTATCCCATGCCGATTGTCCCCCACTACTAAGTCAAGACGATCATAAGTATTCCACCCATTTGCCTTCAAGGTATTCAAGTCTGGCTAACAGAAATAGGCACTTTTCCTGCCCTACGTGAAATGTGAACATCAGGACTATTTCTCCTAATCCTCCCAAATGATTCCTTTGTGGTCTCAGGTAGTTTCCTCATTGTACAGGTCAAATAGTACTCTGATGAAAACTCTTCAGATCTCTGGAGTTCTCTCTCTCTGCAGCTCTCTCCTCTCAGGTACTTCATCCTGTTAACTGTAGCCACCTTGCTCTCCCTGGATCCTTATTCGACTCCTCAACTCAAAGAGTCCCTCAGGTCTGCCTGGGCTCTTCTTCCCTCTACTGCCTGGAAACCTTCTCAGGGCAGTAAAGCTGGGGAAACTGTAGGGCTCACTTCATTTTTTCCTTAATTTCATAATGTGCACTAGCTTGACAACCATTCTTCCACACGTTTTCTTTTTTTCTTGAAGGTTTCAAGTGGAAGGGTAAATCTAAACTTTGTTAGATCTCTTTGACAGAAGATGATGTTCTACAGATTATCTTTCATCTACTCTTTCCACTCTTTAACTGACTTTTAAATTTCATGAACCAACATCTTTAAATATTTCAATTCGCAAACATTCAATAAACGAGAAATTCCTGCTAAACTCCCTCCCTGTGACTTAACAAATAACTCTGCCAGGCCTGATTAAAAACAATCTTTTGAAAGCCATGAATAGTGATGATTTCATTGCTCTGTTAATGTAATCATGTAAAGTTAAGGGAAGGTTCATATTTTAAGGCAACTAAAAAAAATATGGCAGGTCCAAGAGACTGGGGTATTTCAAATAGGACTAAAAACACACTGAAAATGATTCACTCATCTGGTAACACACAAGTCTCCCAATGACAATGTAAAAGTTTAGATCCTGGGAGAATCTTGGCTCAGACACCCAGATCTTGGTGTCCTTTTTAACTGGGGTACCAAACAGTACCCCCGCAGTCTGACAGAGATAATGTACGACTGCAGTACATGCTCCTTCCTGCTCTGTGTGCCCCAGCTCACTGGAGTTTGGGAATAATCAACTCTGGTCCAGTTTCCATTGAATTTCTTTCCGAATGCATACAATGTTGAAACTTCCAACCAGAGTGGGCTTAATCACGCTGGGCGCTGAGTTGTGCTTAGAAATGCCTTCTCAAAAATTAGGTGGAACTGGTCATATTGGTTTCTGAGGGTTAGATTAGGGGTTGGGGGCATCAAAAATAGCTAAATTGACTTTCTTTGGTCATTGGATGTAACAGAATCCGTTAAAAGGAAACGTTCAAAAATGTATCTTGTTGTTACTATACAGTTTTTAATAATCAATCTACTAATCTATGCATCATTTTTAAATTTTTCTAAAGTAAAGATATTTGATGACCAAAGGGGAAGGGGTAGGTGAAACTGATCAAACTCTCTTCCATTTCATGCCACCAAGAATTAGCTTTAGTCTTGGTAAAGATTTGGGGCTAAGAAAACACAAGTAACTAAAGCCCAATGGTCTAAGTCCCAATAACACCAAAGCAGAGATAATGACTGATGTCATGTTAGTGCACCAATGAAATAAAAATACAGAGTTGCTCATGCCCAAGTTTGTGTACAAACTTGCAAGTAAATGGACACACTAGACCCCAACTGAAGCAGTGAATGGTTGCAATTATAAAGGGAAAAATGGATAGATGCTAGAAAATGTCTCATCTTTATTTATTGAATCTCGTTCACTGTCCCATGGGCTCAAGAATTACTAAAAAATCAAGCCTTACACTTAATTGTATAATGGAACATAATATCTATTCCATCACATTTTCCTCCTCCTACACACACACATAAAATCTCAATAATTATTTTAAGTACTTGGGGGCAATTCAGTTAAAAAGGGCACAAGTAAAATAAAAGTGCTTAATGAAGATAAAAAAAATCCCAATGCCCACACGACAATATTATAACAGATATTTGTAGCACGATACAAAAATGCGACAAGATTCAATACCCCATATTAAAGATTTGGGACTCAGTTTATTCTGGGCTTTTCTGCTATAGGAATTCAGATGAGCCAAGTCACTGGACACAGAATAAACCCAGTGTCCAGGCAATGGGTTTATAGCTAACACCATTCTCCTCTACTGTGTATTTGCTCACTTGCGTTATCTTGACTTGGCTCTAATGATGTCCAGCAAAAATGTATTCAAACAAACCTTACACATAACAGCATCTGGGTAAGAGACTGTCATTTGAATTCTATATTATCTCTGTGTAATTCACATCTTAGCCATAATAATTCGAAGAGGGTATATTTACTAGGTAAATGGTTTCTATTTTTCATCAAACAATTTGATGAAAAATTTCACTTGTATGTTCTTGAGATATTACGTGATAAGACACTTGGAGTCAATTATTTGAATGATCTTAAAGAAAAGTTTTGAGAACTGATTTTACGTATATGAGTGTGCACGTGAGGAGCTGTGTTCAAATGTCTTCTTACTCCTCAACTTGACTACCCAGCACTTGTTCTCCAATGGCGTTATGACCAAACTATCCAAACAACAGCCTAGCATCCAATACGATGTCTCCAGGGAGATGTGATTCCAAAAGCCGAGACCCTAAAGAAAACTACTCCCTGAAAACTTTCATTTTTAGTTTAATATCATGTATATGTATGAAGGGAATAACTAGAAACGAGCCCGTGTTACAACTGAAACAGGAGATTTATATAAAAAGCAAAAGCAGTTTTCTCAATCTGATAGTCCAAAGGTTGGAGGGTAATATAATTTGAACTTTCAGGATTCAGAAAGAGTAGGATGTTGTTTCTGGAAAGTAAAACAAGTGCTCGTGGAGCACACTGCAAAGGAGATTTGGTCTAAATGGTTTGGGTTGTCATCTTGTATTCTACAGCTATGTAAGTTTTCCCATACGTGGGTCTCCCAACATAATGATAACACTGCACAGACTTCTGTTTTTGTTTTCACTGAAAGTAATACTCATTAAAGGTAAAAAATGTGAAAACTGAAAACATGAAACATTTCCCACTGATACCACACGATTCATGATTGAAGGCTCATATTCTATTCCATTAGAATCAGCAAGTCCAGAATCAACTTTTTGTAAAGTTTACAATGAAAAACATCAGTGAAAAAAAAAAAAAGCATAGAATGCATTGTGATGGAGAACATATGGTGGAGGGGAAGAGATACAACAATAATTTGTAAATTATTGAAAAAGTGATAACAGTACTCTTTAAATGTAGTGAAGTGTTTTTTCAGGGTATAATGTAAGAACATATTAATAACTATGATTTCAATTTTAGGTAGAACTCTAACAAACTTGCATTAAATTGCACATTTTATGGAAAAATGAAATGAGAATTATGCTCTTACCATCTGTTTTCTTTGAATCATTTCCGACATTAGATTGATCCTTCTTGTCTGCTTTATTTTTACCATCTTTCAAGTCACCTGAAAGTAATAAACATGACAAACAGTATATGTAGACACCTAGGAGGTAGTTATAAATATCTTTAAATCTGTCAAGGTAAGAAAAAAAAAGTACAGCATAATTTTAGTCACAATGGGGTTCATGTCTGAGCATAAATATCCTTTAATCACATATTAGGTCCTGGATATTGGATTATGATCTGGAAATAAGAACTGAAAGTTTCTGTTAAACAAGGTTGTACTTAAGTCAATGGTAATTCAAGAAAGCAGTTCAACATTGCCATTAGGCTATGGAGTGAGGAAAAGCCTAGGTTAAATGAAAGTTATATCAATTAATAGCTATTTAACTGTTATGTGCCTCAGTCTCCTTATCCGTGAAATGGGCATATTAATATCTACTTTATAGGCATAATGTATACAAAAATGAACTTAAAGTATTGAATGTGGTATCTCACACATCACTATATTACTCAATGACTCATTATCATTCTCAAACAGCCATAAATGGCCTAATTAAGGAGCTTGTCAAAACGTAATTTGTAAAAGTTAAAAAATACTATGCATCCAAATGTAGAATGAACATGTCAAAAAACTCAGTTCATTTATGAGGGAATGAGTGAGATAGTAAGAATGGTTCCAGGAGTATTTAAGGAACTGGGTATTTGTAGGTATTTTAGAAATATGTTAAAATAAGATTGCTAGGTTAGAGACAAAATTGGTCACATCCTGCAAGGCAATAAAACCATAACCACGGGGGTTATCTCCTCTACCAGTTAAAAATCTACAAGTTAGCATATAAATTCGCAGTACCTGGGCTTGAGTCAAATAATAAATGACAAAGTTAAACAAAGTTATGTTCTCCTAGAGTAGGGGTCAGCAAACTATGGCCCCTAAGCATATCTGGCCTGCTACCTGTTTTGTAAATAAAGCTTTATTGAAACCTAGCCACACCCATTTATTTATATACTGTCATGGCTGCTTTCATGCTGCAATGGCAGAGTGGAATAGTTGCAACAGACATGCGCAAAGCCAGGAATATTTACTTCACAGGAAAATTCTTTGGACCCCGGCCTAAGATAAATAATCCCTGGGCAGGTCTGTTCAACAATATGCCAGTGTGACATTGAAAGAACATGGAATTATTTTCAAGTTTTGGATATTTTTCTTACCAATTACTAAAAGTGTATCTTTCTTTTAAACCTGCATAAAACCAAGAACAGATTACTACTAAAATGCTGGTACTTACTGAAGCAAAAAGATCCTAATAATAATTGTAACTAAGAAGTAGCAAGCAAGGCTCAAGATATATTTTACTTTGCTTTTTTTGTACCAGAGAGTGTGCTAAATGCTTTGTATGTATCATTTCATTAAATTCTTTTAAAAACCCCATTATGAAGGTACTATATTGAAAGAAGACAAATTCATCAAAAGTTAATTCACTAAATGATCAATTTGTTGAAGAAAACACAAAACGATTAAGAATGTTTTCTAAGTTTGAGTTTGTCCCACACTGGTCAGCCCAGTTGTGTTGAATGCAGTGGGTTGCCAAAGCCTTTTTTCATACACTGCCCCGGCCTACCCCTGCCCCTAATCTTGCATGTGGCAAAGTGATTTTAAGCAAAATGATTTTGCTTAAATTGACTTGTAGAGAATTGATGTAAAGCTCATATCAACTCCATTTTATGAGTATGGAAACTAAAGTTTAGATAAAGTAATTTATCACAATATACACCAATAGGTCTGATTCTAGAGACCAAGCTCTCAACTACTTACTGTATTTTGCAAGTTCTCTGTAAAGCTCACATTTCAGATTTCAAGCCTCTCTCGACTGTTGCCATTTCTAAAGGCCTTTGGCCTAAAGATTTATAAATGGTTGTCTGAGGATAATTCAAGACCCTTTGGGGCCGTGATGTATTCTGCAAAGTAAGTACTTTTAATGGAATTTGACAAATCCTAAGCTAAGTTAGGAATCAATAAACTCTCCAAATTTTCCCTTATTCTTAATTCTGATGAGATGCACTGCTGGAGAGATCGGGAGAAGAGCAGTCGACTCTGGCCAGGGTACAAGCAGGAGGAGTTTAAGTGAAGGACACAGTACTTTGGTCAAAATAGATGAATTCTCCTGGCGTCACCATGAAACAGTCCCAATACCGGCTTTTCCCTGTTTTAAGGATGGCAGAGATGAACCTGAGGATCTTAATGCCTGTAGTCAACTAATTCCTGGCAGAAAAATGACCTTTCTTTATGAAATGAGCCTTCATATCCCTAATGAACACTACATTAAGCCCTCTATTTTGCCCTGGACTGGAGCTTTACCCGCAGCTGCAACAAGACAAGGATGTCTTCTTCCAGAAGTCAGCAGGAGTGCTTCCAATGCCAGATGCCAGCTAGCAGCCCGTGGCAGCCTGCCTTCTCCTCAGTCAGGGCTGGGGAGGCTGAGGGAGGGAGCGTCTTGATGGAGACCAAAGTTTAGGAGATCCCATCATTGCTGACAGGGGACCAAAGCCCTAGAACCCCAGTTAACTAGTGTCCTTCAGCTCTGACCTGGAAATGCCTTGGGCAGCCACAGAGAGGATGCCGGGAAAGCGGCACACACTTGTTTGACGATGTTCCTTGCACAGAACCTATTAGGTAATTTCCCATGGGTTGTATATGGAGCAATGGTCGATGCGAGCTGTGATTCAATAAACAGGGGGAAACGAAAGAGCTTTTTGGTGCAGTTATAAATCATTTTAATTAGGCTGCTGTAACACAGTCCCGATCCACCATTAGCCTTTCTGATTATTGCTCTAAATTGATTTCTTTTCCCACCTCTCATTTAATACTTAATTTTTTAAGGGAAATGGTAGGCTACTGCTTACTCTGGGAAATAAACAGAGTTGTAAAATCAACCCAGCCTAGCTGAAGACTCAGGCTCCCGCTTCGTTTCTTTCAGGTTCCCCCAATCATCTTTAAAATAAATTATTGCCACCTCTGCTCTCTCTGGGTACTTGTTTATACCCGTCTCATAATGCACTTTGTGACTGGCACATTTGTGTTCCTTGGTTTCTCTCCCTGACCAGTCGAGGGGTTGGCAAATCTCCCTTGGGCCAAACCTGGCCCCACTGCCTGGTTTTATATGGCCCACAAACTGAGCATGGTTTTCACATTGTTAAATGGTTGGAGGGAAAAAAGAATATTTCATGACATGTGAAAATTATATAGAATTCAAAATTTAATTTCCATAAAATTTTACTGGAACTCAGCCACGCTCACTTGTTTACATAATATCTGGAGCTGTTTGCACACTAAAATGGCAGTGTTAAGTCATTGCAACAGAAACTGCGTGCCCTACAAAGCCTGAAATAGTTGCTATCTGGTCCCTAACAGAGTGTTCCAACCCCCGGGATACACAGATTATAAGCTTCTTGTGGACAGCAGCCAAGTCTCAATATCTCTCCAATTTCCTACTCTCCCCAACAGCACTGAAACTTGCAAATAATAGGAACATGCTGGTTATGGAGTATAGAACCTGGACTTGCACAGACCTGAATGTGACCTGAAATCTCTACTTAGTGGTTGCTTGCCCTTAAGCAAGTGAGCTAACCTCTCGATCTCTATTTCGTCATCTGCAGAACGGGGATGAGAGTATCTACCTCACAGAGTTGTTAGGACTTTTAAATGGTTTAGTGTAGGTGAAATCTCACGTATGATGTCTGGCACATACATGTTAAATATTCAGTAACCGCTAATGATTATAGTGACTATCTTTATTAAGGAAAGACATTTTTAAGCCACTCTCCTAAAGGGAAAAAAGTAGAGAAGAAGCACGAATTGCCTTGCTCACCAGCCCTTACCTACATCTCCATTGGGACGGAGAGAAACTCACTCATCTGAAAGGAAGAGTTGGATACGCACAGCTCAGCCCAGTCACCCATTTCCCCAGCCCCCAGCCCCCTTTGAGATGTGTTTTCCAGAAGATGCACACCTTTCCTGTCACCCAAGAAGCAGCCTGCTGGGGTGCTCGGGAGGGTGTGAGGGGGAGAGTTCTGAGCCCGCCTGCTCTGCCAGGGTCTGCTTGGCTAAGCTCCGTTCAGGGCAGACATGCGAAGAAGCGCATGTGCTCAGCAGACCAAGTCCACGTTTTCCGACTCTGCTCCAGCTGCGGTGGAGCTAACGCTTCAATCACGAAATTTCTGAGTCTGGTTTCTCTCTCTTAATTCGTTCTGACCTCAGGGAGGGGAGAAAAGGAGTATTCTGCATGACTGTAAAACTCCGACAGGTGTATCATAAATTCCTATTAAATGGAACATATTTTCTGGACTATGATGCACTTGAACAGAAAACAAACTAGTCCCGAGCAGCCTCTGGGACCAGGCTGCTGAGGGGCTGGACGCGTTGAATGACAGCCTTTCCTGCCTGCTGGGGTGGCCGTGGAGCTGCCTGAGGAAGTTTATGCAATATCCTTGGAACTTGGTATATTATCATCAATATATGTTAAAATATTGTTTTCTGGTTTTACGTTTATATATGTTAATTGTAAAAATAATTGGAGAAGATGACGCTAATCATTTTCTACATATTTTTCATTCCCAGGCTGTGTACAATTATAGCTAGAGCACCTGCCCCTGCCAGGCAGGTAAGAGAGTATATGTAAAAAGAAAACTCAAAATCGCATCTGGCATATAGTTAATAAATGCTATTTGTTTTATTGTCATCGTTTTGCTATTATAATTATTGGAAGCTCTCATGTGGCCCATGCACATTTTACAGACAGAGTGGATGGTTAAGTAACATGGCCAAGGCCACCGAGAAGTTGTCATGAATCCAGGCGTGTTTGATTGCAAAACTCTTTTGCCACAACCCAGCACTTGCTAGTTCCAGGGACTGAGCTTCCTGCCCTTCCCTAAACAAGATGACCGATTCCACATCCTTTAGCTCACCTTGTTCTCACTGGCTGAGGCATCCCTGTCGCCCACCCAACCTGCAAATGTCAGGACTTAAAACCCAGTAAAGACATCCCCTCTCTTGAAGCCTTTCTTGACATTCGCCCCACTGCACGGTCCTCAGACCCAACAAAGCCAATGTGTCTTGGGAATTCAACTGCCATGCCACTACTGTTACTTGCTCACATTGTCCTAAAATTACCTCTGAAGATGTCTATTAAATGGTAGACTTCTTGTGGCTGTTCCATTTTCTAAATCCCCAGTGCCAAGCACAGCGGTTAGCACAGAGTTGTTAATCAATAAACACTTGCTGCATTAAATATAAGAAATCACCAATTATATGCACGCTGCAGTGACCAGCTCATCCCAGTTTGCCTGAAACTGTTCTGGTTTTCCTGAATCCCAGGAAACCCCTCCGTCTCTGGCAAGCTGGGCTAGGTGCTTACCCTAAAGTATGTACTCACATACAGGTGGACACACACTGCAGAATGGGTGTTACCAGCCCTGCCGGGGGGATAGTGGATATGGGAGACCAACTTTCCGATCACCCAGTCATGCAGTGAGCACTCAGGAACACACTGGGATGGTTCACAGTAACTTCCCTAGTGAGCAAGCAGCACTGGTCAGTCTCCAGAACAATCGGAAAGGGCCCAAAAGGAACAAATGTCCCCCAGAGAGAGTGGCCCCGGCGTGCTTCTGGCTGCTTCTGATGGGATCTTGATAGGATTCACAGCCTGGGGAGGTGGGATCAGCAGCAGCTGGACAGCCGGGGAAGCCCCGTGCTGGGAGCTGTCCTCATAGGTACAGCCAACTGCCCATTCTCACTCATCACCCCAAGAAGAGCCCCTCCCCGGGGCGAGTCCACTCACCATTCTGTTGCTTTTCTCCTGATGACTTCCCGGCTTTGGAGTTTTTCCCACGAGGGTTGTCACTTTTGTTTGGGCGCGTTCCACCGACTTGACTCGGAGCTTTGCCTGATGCATCTTCCTCAGCTTGCTTTTTGGCTTCCATTTCTTTTTGCTTCTCTTCCGCAGCCAGGCGAGCCTTCTCCTCCGCTTCCTTCTTGGCCTTCTCCTCTGTGTCCGTGGTAAGTTAGGGACGGCGTAGAAAAGATCAAAAGAGGTCACGCCGTTAGAAGAATTGTCTCTTTTGAGCAAAACCGATTATTGACACTGGTCATTAATACACTGAAATAACCTAAGGAGTCTGCTGAGTGTTTTGGGTTTATTTTTGGCTAATTCAAGTCAGATTGGCATTTATATTCAGGACGCACAGAAAACTGGGTTATGGTGATGTCGTTTCTGAAGAGTGGGTTAGAAGAGGGGGCAGGTGAGGAAAAAGATGGCTGGTCTTACTATGCACAGAGGGAAACTGAGGCACGGGGAGGGGAATTCATTCATACTCGGGTTATAAGGCCCTCCCAGAACCCCCACTGAATCTGTGGCAAATTTTCAACATTCAAAATATCCCCCAGTTAAAAATAATTTTGACTACAAACTGAAAGTGTTAAAGTCTGGTTTGCTACAAAAGAGCATAAAATGTTATCTGAGCAAGAAAAATTCATTTGACAACTGTCAGACCAATTTTCTCTGGGAAATCTAGCAAAAACTAAAAATGGGGAGAGGGGTACATTGCAGAAGCAAATCTGTTTTTGCTCAATTACAGCTGATAGCAGGCAATTAATATTTAAATTAACGAATGTTAGCTCTCATGACATCATAATCGACTTCAGTATGAGCCGACCCCATTAGATTCCTTTCCCTGCAGCAATCACGCTCCCATGGGTGGCTCTGCAATGCCACCTTCGACCTCTCTACTCTACTTCCTTCTCCTCCTCCTATTTCTGAAACATCTGATAATGCTATGATCAACCATCGGCACTCAAAGTGGTACCACTGAAAAGGAGGAGGAAAAAAAACCAAGCAACCAGATTAATAAGAAAAAAAGAAAATAAATCAACAAGAGGTAGCTGTTTATATTTTATATTAATATACATAAAATTTTCCTACAATTAGAAAAAGTGTGAGAGCACATTTAATAAGTGCCACCAGGTCCCGATGATGGCATACATATAGAAAATTAACTTTTCAGGTCTTCGATTGAACATCCTTGGCACTCTTAGGCTTCTAGACTAGCAGAAAGCAAACATGTAGCTCCATGCCATTCCGTTTTGCTTTCTACTTCAGACTATCTGTGCTGATGTGACTCACTATGAAATGGCCAAAAGCAAGCAACTAAAGAGTTTAGGTAGAACAGAGCTCTCATGATCCTCGAGCTACATTCCTCTGAGAGCAAGTTCTAGCCCATACCGAATGTCTGTGAAGGTTTGGAGAAATACATTGGTTTCTTCATTTAATTGCCTTTCTGAATAATGATTCTATAGGCTCTTCGTTAAAATGGTGTTGGGCTAGTTATCCCTTGATATAATTTTCTGAAATGCCTACTTAAACTACTTACAAACAGCGAGAAAGAAAAAGACAGAAACTGACTAACTGAAAAAACAACCAAAATACTATATGACTTTTAAATAGTCAACTCTCAGTTATATACAAGAACAATAGAAGAGACTTCTAGACAGCTAAGGAATCAGATGGTGTTCCCACAGAACCTTTCTAAAAATATTCACCAAAGAAATGCTCCAGCTGACAGAAAAATTCAATCATATTAAAAACCCAAGAATGAAGAAAATATGTTAATGATTGACAAGAAAACTAGTAAATCTTAGTGTTAAAAAATAATTGTCAAGTTAGATATAAAATGATGCAAATATTAAAAATAATATTAAAGAATGAATTAATTATAGAATAACTTACTAATAATCACCTAGACCAAAAATCTCATATTATTTCAATAAAAGCTGAGTGAATATGGAGGAAATAAGTAAAAATTCAGTAGATTTCTCAGCATTTGCAAAAGAGTATCACTATACACTGTTTCATATTTTTATTGATAGGAACATAATTCAGTAAAAATGTAATAGTAATCTCTAGCAAAATAAAAATAAGATGTATTTTAAAAAGGCCTTAAAAGGCATATGACAAAATGGGGTAGGACAGAATTGCAAGATACTTTGTCAACTGAAGAATTGCCATCCTTAATACATAAAGTATTATAAATCAATAACAAAAATATAAACATCCTTAATACATAAAGTGATTATAAATCAATAACAAAAATATAAACATCCTAATAAAAAATGAAAGGGGAAAAATATAGGGAAATAGGCACTCTCACTACTGGGAAAGAACACCGGTTAAAACAAATTCCAGGGAGAAATTTGATAATATATATCAAGAGCTTCAGAATTTTTTCATTTACTTTGACTGAGGCATTCCAAATCGAAAAATTTATCTTAGAAAAATAATCAGAAGTAGGCTCAAGGACTTTTGAATTTTTATGTTCATAACAACATTACATACAATAATGAAGAACCAGAAACAAAATGCTGAGTAATAAAGAAATGGTTCAACTGTGGTTGTACATGCAATGTAGCCATCAATTATATCTTATAAGAATAGTCAGTATCCAGATAAAATACTCAAAATAGAAATAGAAAAGTAAAATACAAGATGACAACATACTATGATCTCAATTTATGGGGAAATTTTTTGGTTATATATCTGCACAGTAAATCAAACTTAAAAAAATTACATAAGAATTTCAACAATAATTATATCTGGTTGGAGAGATTATGAGTAATTTTTATTTTCTTTTATATATTTTTTATTTATATTTCAGCATTATTACCTAAACACATACTATTATTACACCAGGGAAAAAAAGGCTTAAAATGTATGAAATACTGAGCAGAAATTGATAGATATTGACCAGAATTGCAAATTGTTA